CTTCAAAGTGACATTTGACCTGTTGTGCCAAATAGAGAATCATTCCTGTGTTCTACTTTCCGAGATCTCTGTCTCTTTGCCATTCTTATTGCCTGGGGCCTAACCTAGGGTTGTAGTCTGTAGTCACTAGTAGCAAGGGTACTGCCTCTGAATGAGAGGCCTGGCCTACGTTACTATCTGCTACCTTGGCTATAAAGTGGTGTGTTTTGTGAAAATGAAGTTAGCAAAGTATTGGAGAAAAGAAAATGCTTTAAAGAGCCTGTGAATGGTGGGGATTCTGAAATAAAACTCCAATTTGAGCAGATAAGTCCCTACTTGGAGGTAACATGAGGGGAGTGCTAGCTTGAATGGTGCCTGTTTCACCAGGATGGCGAGTGATCCTACCCCTTCCTTGCACCATGCCCCTTTTTAACATTGGTTACTGTTTAGTGCATTTCCAACACCTGTTTTAATGGATTCCAAACTGAGGACCCTCAATGTGCTGACCTTAATCAACCTCTTGCTTTTCTTTTCCCCCTTAGGGCTGACTCTGTTGCCTGGAACCCCCACAAGATGCTGATGGCAGGGCTGCAGTGTTCTGCCTTTCTGCTCAAAGACAACACTGTGAGTGGAAATCATGGAATTATCTGGGCACAAAAGGTTGTTTCCTGACGTGACCAGCTCCCGTTGGTGCTACTGACACTTGGGCTCCAGTTCTAATGGGCATTGGCTGCCCCCATCACCTTACCGATGTGGTCCTTCTTGATGCTTGTTTACCTCCAAACCATGAACATTTGGCAGGCCATTCGAGCAGTGGCTAGTGCAATGTTGAGCCACTCCCATGTCTTCAGGGATTTGCAGTTGTGCACGTTCCAGAAATCATTGCTGGATTTCAGTTGCAGTACAGCTTACACATCATACCTGTGACTGTGGCTGTGATTTCAGTATAGCACCCATTTAGGCAGTTAGCCACTGTCTCGAGTACCTTGTGATTATCACGCAGTGGGAGCTTGCTGTGTGCAAATTACCTTTGTCATGTTTCTCTAGTTACAATGGTGTTGACACTTCAAACAGTACTTTTGACTGTAAAGCATTGCAGGATCTCATGCGGTCATGAAAGGTGGTATACAAACCTCTAGTCACCATATACTCCAACCATCACCTTGTAGCTCGCTCATTTAACCTGCCTGTGCCTTTTCCTTCTCCTTGGTTTGCCTTCTCAGTCACTTTTTCTATTGATAAATCTAGATAAAGTACATTACTCTCTGACTCTTCATTTAGGTCATCTTGTATAGATTACAATTAATTGAGGCCTCAGCACTGACCCTCTTTAAAATACCCCATTTACCCTTACTCTCTACTTCCTATTTGTTAACCAATTATCTATCCTGAGTCGTTAGCTTGTGTATCAATTTTTGTTTTTCCACCGTGCCAAATGCTTTCGGAAAACGAAGTATGTGACAGCTGCTAGTTCCTCTTTTTTTATCTAACCTACCAGTTACATCCTCAGAAAAAAAAAATGTTAACTTCCAATCTCCTGAGACCATTCTAGAATCTAAAATTTTCTGGTTTTTTTTGGTCTTGTCTTCCACCTTTTTTTTTTAGTTTAAAGGCTAATCATCCATTGTGATTATTGCAATACAGTGTTGCACTAAACTGAGACTCAGTGAAGGGAAGTTATTTTCAAACTCATTGTGCTGCCATATTACATTCTGGATACTTGGAGTAAAGCCTCCTCTACACTCCCAGGATAGGCACAGCATGGGGTTAGCTACAAAGTAAATCTCTACATTGTCCCCATTAAACACTGTCAGGGACAGCATGGGGTTAGATACATCCTTTACAATGTTACCATTCATCCAGTTTCTCTGGAGGCCTCCTTTTGGGTTTGCTTTACTCTTTCTTTCTCTCAACCTTGCTGTCCCACCTCCTGATTACATTTGATTTTGTGGGTTTTTGTTAACGGCCCCCAGATGGTTTTGTATGGGTCTCCATACAAGTGGCCAAATTAGGGGACTTTCGCATTTGAGTTCAAGACGAGCCCTGGGCCTCCTATGTGAAGGAGTACTTTAAGCTGTTACCTCCCCTGTAATAATATGCTTTTTGGTTGTGTGGAGTGCTGCTGCTTGGAATATGGGAGCAAGACCAGTGGGTGGTATTGGAACTGTTTGCTAATTTGTTTGAAGGAATGTTGAAGAAAAATAATTAACAACTTAATTGGTTAATAATCTAATGCTCTTATTTTTGTAAGAGAACTGTGTGCTGTGGCTGTACCCTTTTTGCCCGATCTTTTGTGAATTGTTTGTTTGTCCGTCTGTCTGTCTGTCTCTCTTTTCCAGGACCTCCTGAAGACTTGTCACTCGGCCAATGCCAGCTATCTTTTCCAGCAAGACAAGTTCTACAATGTCTGTTATGATATAGGTGACCAGTCCCTGCAGTGTGGTCGGAAAGTGGATTGCCTCAAGCTATGGCTGATGTGGAAAGCTGTTGGTACTCTAGGCCTGGAGAAAAGGGTTGACCGTGCCTTTGCCTGCACTAGGTTTGTATTAGGACTATGACCTTTCCCATCTAGAATTTGGGATCACCCTTTCAAAATAAGGGGGTCACACATTTAAGACATCAGAATTTTTCTGAGGGTGGTGTCTTCCTTAAAAGGCTGCGAAAGCAGAGTCCTTGAATACCTTTTTCGGGCATCAGTAGATTTGATCCTTGATGAATGAGGGAGTGGAAAGTTGTAGTTGGCAGGGAATGGGAAGTAATCTGATCAGCCATGATCTGTTTGACTAGAAGAACAGGCTTGAGGGACTAAGTAGCTTAGCCCTCCTAACTGTTATGTTTGTAAACGTCCAAACTTGACTAAATAATGTTCTCCATCCTTTTTGTTTTCAAAACCCTCCATGGCCTCTCACCTCCCTGTCTGGAATCATTTCCTCCTCCTGCTTCTTGATTCTTTGTGATTATCTGTGCTCCTTCAATTCAGACCTTTGTTTTTTGAATGTCTCTGATTTCTGTTGCTCGGCCATTGATGGTTGTGCCTCCAGGTGCCGAGGCCCAAAACCCTGAAACTATTCCCCCGAAACTGACCTCGCTGTTTAAACGAGCTTTTGATTACCAGTCCTAGTATCTCCGGTGTCAAACTTGGCTTGATGCTATTATGAAGAGACTTGGGTACTTTATTATATTTAACTGTGTTACAATGAGGGGTGATTGGAGGTTGGAGGGGTGTCTGGCACTCGCTGCCTGAAAAGATGACCATGTCAGAAACCCTTAATCCGTTAAAGACAAGACTTGGAAAAGTTCTTGAGATACTATCACTTTAGATGGCTTTGGACCAAGAGCTAGAAGATGTGATAGCTAGACAACTAATCAGCCAGGATACAGTGGACTAAATTGCCTCCTGATCTATAAATTTCTATAGTTTGACATTGCTATGTAAATATAAGTTGTCATTTAGTTTTGGTTAGAGCTCATTTGGCTGTCCACCCTTGTACATAGTCACCATATAGCCTTATGATTGTGGGTACTGACTGGAACTTCCAAATGCTATGAGAAACTTCATACTGAGAAAACAAACTATCATTAGCTACCCGAATTCTAATGGCTGGCAAACTAAGGTCGACTAAAAGAGTAGCTCACTGGCTGTTGCCAACTCTAATGTTAGAAATTGGTAGTTTAGCTTCTGTTTTCCCCTGAAGATGCTGCCTTTTTGTCGTGGTCTATTGCTGCTGCCCTCCTGGAATGTCAGCCCTCCAATGTTTGAACCAAGGCTGTAATAAGATCAGAAACTGAGTGACCCTGGTGGAACCCAAACAACACATCAGTAAACAGGTTATTGCTCAGCAAGTGCTATTTGTTACACCTCACTGGAGTAGCATGCTAAAAATCAAGCCCTGTTATTCCTGGAATTGTCACAAAAATTAAAGATTTCGAAAAGTACATAATTTCCCAATGTGTCTTTTGGACTCTGATAGACAGATCAGCCCAAGTTTCTGTATTTAACCAGAATGACTATTTATTATTGATTCTAGCTACAGATAAATAATTATAAAAATTTAGCATATAACTCTAATAGATAAAATGCTAACCCCCTTATAAACCATCATTGCGCGCACACATGGAGGGGAGGGGGCAGAAACATGGGTGTTATGGAAAGACTGTGTGTGAAATGAACTTCCTGAGGAAGTGGTGGATGCAGGTACAATGTTTCAAAGACATTTGGGTAAGTACATGAATAGGAAAGGTTTGGAGGGATATGGGCCAGGGTAGGCAGGTGGGACTAGTTTCAGATTGGGATTATGTTCGGCATGGACTGGTTGGACCAAAGGGTCTGTTTCCGTGCTGTATGACTCTGACTCTATGAAAGCAAATCAGCGGTGCCTGTTCACAGGAGTAGCTGAGATGATTCTTGCGCTCATCAGAATGCTGCTTCCTGAGCATCTTTTTGCAGATGCTTTCTTCTGTTTGCTCCTCACTTAAATATCTCTGACTTTTATTAATTAAAACTCTCAGTTTACAGCAGCTATTGTAGGAAAAATAAACTGGCAGTTTTCCAAGCTTCAAGTTCTTTTTTACTGCAGAGACAGCAGCTGAGTCTGTGGAGCTCTGATAGAGACAAGCCATCTTCTTCACAGACCCAAGCTATTAGCCACCTGGGAACCAAACGTGTAGTTGTTGGCACAGTAGAAGGCCTTTGGTCAATAGTCCACAGACCAGTTATTGATAACAATCAGCTATTTGTTGCTGTTTGGATCTCCATTCATACACAGCCCTTGCCTCCAGCTCATCTGCAAATAACACTT